AAATATATTTCACATTTCTTAACTATACTTTGTGTTTCCTTGGCTCCACATGAGGAAATCACTGGTAAACTTTTGTTTTATAGGCACTTTGATAAAGAGCATATAATGTTGTTTTATACTTACATTCTTCAAATATGTAGGCAGTCGTAATTTTCCCACTCAAATCTATCATTTAAGTTATTGTCTTTAGTCTCTGAATCACTGCCAAAATTACAATAAGGAAACATCTGCAGATAGCAAAAAGGATCCTACATGCTATCACAAATTACAATTTATGTTGATATTGCTTTATGTGGCATTTTAATCAACCAATAAACATTTATTAAGCACCTACTATGTGGCAGGCACTGTGTTAGTGCTAGAAACGACTCTCCTCTCTACCCCCAAGAAAGCCCCTGCACCCGAAGTGCTTATAATCTACCGTGAGATTTAAAAAAAAGTATAAAAGGAAGCTGAAAGGGGTGGGGGAGAGGGGTGCATGCATAATAAAGAGATGGCTGGCCTGGGTACACTCCTTGAATGGAGCAAGTTCTGAGAGGAACTCTCCAACTCCCACTGATATAATCAGAGGGTGGGGCCCAGGGGCAAAGGGGTACTGATGACATGTGAGTTCCAGAGTTGAAGTGACCTTGTTTTTATATTTTAAAATTATATATCCTGGTTGCATTTGGTGAAATTTGAATAATTAACTCCATTCCTTGAAATATTTCAATGTTTCATGACAGAAATTGCAGTTATCAAATCTGTGTTTTAGAAAGGAGCTTAAAAATGGACTAGCTTGGGGCAGTTAGGTGGCGTGACTGGAAAATCACTAGCTCAGGAGTAGGAACCTGTGGCCTTTTGACTGAGTCCAAGTTTTACAGGACAAATCTTTTTATTAAGGGGATTTGTTCTGGCAAGTCTGGATTCAGTGAAAGGGCTGCACTTGAGGACCTAGAAGGCCACACGTGGCCTTGAGGCAGCAGGTTCCCCACCCTGCACTAGCTAGTGGGACAGCCATTCAACTGTTTGGACAGCTCTAATTATTAGGAAGTTCTTTGTTACAAGAACTAAAATCCACCTCTCTGTTTCTTCTACCCTTTGGTCTTTTCCCATTTAGAACAACAGAATAAGTCTTCCCGACATCCTTTCAAATATTTGCAGACAGTTATTAAGCTTCCCGCTCCTAAATAAGCTAAGTTGTTTGGGTCTTCTTCTTCTGCGAGCTACAAATCCATCTATTACTGAGCCCATAGTGCTCTATTGTGTCCATTAAGAACCATGAGACTTTGTATATCTATTAAGTTCCTTCATGAAATCCAATGCCTACAGTATATGCACTCCAAGGACATGAAGGGCACACACTGTCCTCTCAAACTTTTCACTCCGAGGTACAATCGCAAATTTTAAAATTGGCTCAGCTCCTAATTGAGACAACATTCACAGAGGAAGATTAAAATAAAGAGATGCTGGTAGAATGTAAGGGTAGAGTGGGTCTCTGAAAGAAATATATTGGGGCAGCTAGGTGGCGCAGTGAATAGAGCTCTGGCCTTGGAATCAGGAGGACCCGAATTCAAATCCAGCCTCAGATACTTAACACTTACTAGCTATGTGACCCTGGGCAGGTCACAATGCCTAGCAAAAAAAAGAAAAAAGAAATATATCTGGATGTACAGTAAAAAAGCAAGAAGGCTATCTGTTACTAAAAGACAGCTGAGATTTTGTGTCATATGTTACCAGGACTCAAGCAAAGTCTGAAGTAAGGTTCTGACCTAACTAGGGCAAGGGAGTAAGAGGAGAGAAGGGTACCAAGTTCATGAAGAGGATTAGCTGTAGCTACATACAGTTCACACAGAGTAAAAACTGCAGAGAAAGCTTGGTTTACAACAAAAATCTGTCAGGGCTAACTTGAAGAACATATTCTCCAAACACACTGGCTGGAAGATCCTTCTCTGACTTATTCATCACTAGAGGAAAAAACCACTTAATTAAAACAAAGCAATAGCAATTGATTTGGAAAAACAACAACAACAAATCCACAAATTACTCTCATGTTCTCAGTCTCGGGAAGTTAATTCACTCCTCTTTGAAGTTCCCACTCTAACGTCCAACCAAGTTAACTGGTAAACTAGCATACCGTATCTATTGGCCGGCCCATTGCACTAGCCTCTTATCTGCCTTCACATCCCATTAGGCTGTCCATCCAAGTGACCTTACCATTTGCCTTCTTCCCCTCCATTTTTTCTTCTACGTGCATCAAGGAAAACAACACTACCACTACTTATGGAAAGGCATGTCATATGTGTCAACTTACCATTTCTAAGACTCCCTAGACCAAAACTGTCTTATTTGTCCAGTATCCAGACTCAGTCCCTGATCTCAGCAAATTTACATTCTAATGGGGAAAATAACACATCCAAATTTCCTGAGAGCAGGGAGCCAGTTTCTTTTTGAAATTGTTTCCCCAGCACATAACAACTACTTAAGAATTTTTTTTTTAATTTACTCATCTGTTTCCTAGCCTGATACTTCCTGCAATCACATTACCAACACAATTCCCCTCTTCTTACTCCTTTGTTTTAAAACACTTCTGTACTCGGTCTTGGTTGGAAAATATCTGAGGTACTGTGTTCAGTTCTGGGTATTACAGTTTAAGGACACTGGTAAAGTGGAAGTGTCCAAAGAAGATAAACAGAATCAGAAGAGAGGTGGCTAATGAAGACAGGACTTCAAACACATAAAGGATTAATACACTTTTTTAAGAAGCACAAAACATAGGGCTCAGTTATTAATCTTCACTTGAGAGCTAAAATTTTAATAGAGTTACACTACAAGATGAGTTAGACAAGACTTGGGTTAGATAAAAATGAAGACGTTTATGAACATGCATCAACTACTAGAAAAAATTACTGAGATTATGAAACTCCTGCTCTGGAGATCTTTCAAAGTAAATGATTCTTTTTTAAGGCTGGGTTATGGCTCTGACTAAAGTCAAATGATCGCTCAAGGCTCTTCCATTCTCATAATCACGAAATTCTAGTGGAGCCAGGTGTTTTACAGAAGAAAGGTAATCTATGTTTGCAAAGTACAACAATATGTTGTCATTTAAATGTATGCTTCACAGAAGTATATTGCTGTTGCCAGATACACTAAGTAGGGTGCTTTGCCACTATTTCCAATTCCTTATTTTAAAATAATTCCTTAAAGAAAAGGCTTTAAAAAAAGAAATAGAAATAACGAAAATACTGATTAATAGGAGTTCTCTGCCTTGACATTTAAATTTAAAAGTCTCCTAAATGCTTTTGTTTCTATGAAATCCAGTCAAGTCTTCTTTCTTTCTGCAGTACTTTTCACACAGTTAAGCATCTAACAAATATTTGTCTGACTGAATTTTCAGTTTTCAATTTCCCTTCTGTCTAGCATTTCACAGCATTTTAAAGATCTAGTCCAACCTCATTTTACAGATGAGGTCACTGAAGGAAGCTTAAAAAAGTTAAGCAACTTATTCAAGGTTACATAATAATTAGCAACACATCTTGAACTTTGGTTTCCTCTACCTTTTCTTACATATAAATTGTTAGTACTACTAGCCCACTTCCCTGTATGTGTAAATATATTTAAGGTCTAAATGGGCGATCTTATTGCAATCTTCCATCTATTGGATACCTCCCATACCCAATACGTTCAAGGTACAGATAAAGGTAAGGAAACAGGAATGGTTGTGTCAGGGATGCAGGGAACAGCTTCCTAAACTGAATCTTAAGCATGGCACAGTGGATAGAGTACTGGGCCTGGAGTTAGGAAGACTCCTCTTATGAGTTCAAATCCAACCTCACACACTTACTAGCTGTGTGACCCTGGGCAAGTCACTTAACCCTGTTTGTCTCAGCTACTCATCTATAAAATGAGCTAGAAAAGGAAATGGCAAACTTCTCTAGTATCTTTGCCAAGAAAACCCCAAATGAGTTCATGAAGAGTCAGGCATGACTGAAAAACAACTGAACCAACATAACAATCTTAAATCCTCAGATTCCTCTTTAAGTGCACATCTATAATGTTTCCTGCTTTAACTCTGCAATTAAAGCCCTATTCAGCACTACTTATCCTACTATCCACTCACATAGAACAGATTTTGATCAAGAATATTTTACTAGACCTTTTTAGGTCTCTAAAATTTCTTCATAACACTTCAGATAAGCCAAAACAAAAAACAAAACCCAGAAAACATTTAATGTTTTTCCAATGCACTTTACATTGATTTCTTTATTCCTACTGATAAAAGGAACTGGGAGGTCCAAATATCTATTTCTAGATGTCTCAGATAAGTATATGACAACTAAAATAGCAAAATCAAAGAAAAACTTGTGCTACTTAAAATATAGATTTGGGGAAATAAGTAGAGTTGTGTTGGATAGAGATTTTAAAGATACACTAATAGAACTTTAAGACATCTTTTCTCTATGAGGAATTGGTTTAAAAAAGGATGAAAATGCATGCCTAAAAACACTCTTTCCACTGTACCCTACTTTTCTTCACTTACATATGCTTACATTTTAAGAAATATAGCAGTTGGGGCAGCTAGGTAGTGCAGTGGATAGAGCTCTGGCTTTGGAGTCAGGAGAACTTGAGTTCAAATTCAACCTCAGACACTTGACACTTACTGTGTGCCCCTGAGGCGAGTCACTTAACCCTGTCTGCCTCAGCAAAAAGCAAAAAGTGTGTGTGTGTGTGTGTGTGTGTGTGTGTGTATCAGCCTTATCTATTACTTATTACCTTACAGAAATTAGTTAACCTAAACTAAAGTTAGTAACAGTGATTTTTTTTAAAAAACATGTTTGTGAAATGAATGAATTTGTAATGGCAGCTTTAAAGATAAACAAATGTTGGTAAAATTCCAGACTAGATCATGTATCCTTCCTAACACCGCTTAACAACAATTATGCTTACAGAAAAAGTTCTGCACATTATAACTACGTTTAATATTTTAAACAAAAATTTACTTAACAGTACTAAATATATACCTGGCAGAATTCACGTGTAACTTGAATTTCATAAGGCAAACAACTTATCGCATCCACTTTTCATGGCAAGGATACTGAAAAACAAAATAGTTTTGCAATGTTAAAAAATAATAAACTGAAACACTAGGGGAGGAACAAACTATAAATACCTAGAACAGCCATGAAATATGGTTGACACCTACATTACAAAGTTACTAGAAAACAAATGAATTATCTACTCTGCCAATAACACTGGTACTTATGACATCTCATTGAGGATCTTCAGAGTCTTTTCATCCCTAAGACAGGAACACAACACTTATGAATGCCTCATACAAACAAGAGGTTGCTCTGGAGAAACTGGTGGTTGAGTACAAGCAGATCCCTGGAAGAGTAATAGAAGGGGTTGGAGAAATTGAGAAGTGGTTTCTCAAATGAAAATTCTTATGCAAGAAAGGACAATTAAATCTGTTTTAGATATTTCACAAGATTATAGGACTGCAGACTGTAGAGCTGAAACATAACTTTCAATTCCTTCATTTTACAGATGAAGAAAAACTGAGACCCAGAGAGGTTAAGTGATTTCAAGGGCATATAGAGAAGTGAAAAAAAGAATCAGGATTTGAACTCAGATTCTCAGATTCCAGTCTTGGAGCCAATGCTCTTTCTACTGTACTATGATGCTTCCCTTCACTTTTATCTGCTTACATTTTAAGAAATATATACTGATCTTATCTATTAACAGATTAAAGTAATTAACACAACTACATACAGGATGGATAGCTCAAATAAGGCTCTGTGGGCTAAATGCATATTAGAAGAGCTCTGAATCTATGACTGACTGGTAGAATAGAGGGATTTTTGACAAGACAATCATTCCCAAGTCTTCTACATACCAACCGCTAATGCTAACATTTTTCCTTCCTGCCATAACAGGAAACTAGGGTCAAAAACTTGGGTCCCCCATTTAGTTGCCTTCCAAAAACATTGCCAAACCCTGATTTAATCTAACATTTTATTATGTATCTATACAAGAAACACAAATGATTACAGCTTTATAATCATGAACAATTTAATGTTTAATAATAAGTTCCTTTAGGGACAGAAGTTCTTATTCTATAGTGTAGCAGGCAGTAATAGTTAAAGGAAAAGACACTGGCTTTGGAAGCAAAACAAAACTGGGTTCAAATGTTAATTACACTATTAGCTAAATAACCTAAAAGAAGATATTTAACTTCTGAGTCTCTGTTTCTTCCTTTGTCAGAGATAATACTCATATAATTTTTTTTTGGAGGCAGTCAGGGTTAAGTGACTTGCCCAGGGTCGCAAAACTAGTAAGTGTCTAAAACTAGATTTGAATTCAGGTCCTTCTGACTCCGGGACTGGTGCTCTACCCACTGGGTCACCTAGCTGCCCCTAATACTCATACAATTTAACAGGGTTATGAGGAACTTGCCTACAGCAAAAAACTCATGTTAAATGAATTAAATTCATTAAAGGAAACTACTACAACATAAGAAGATGAAACCTAACAGATTATCACAAGGGTAACTTTTAACTAAGGCATTATTATTATTATGACAGTCGGTTGAATGCCAGTAACAAAAAGTTGTCATCTGGTCATTATATATCAGGATAATAGGATCTAGAAGTGGAAAAGACTCTGGAAAATCATGTAGCTCAACCATCTCATTTTACAGGTAAAACCAAAACTCAGGAAAGTTATGACCAATGTCATACAGGTACTAAGCAATTTGAGATTCACATCTTCTGACTCCAAATCTGATTAGCTTTCAATCAAATACAGAGATTATGAAAACAAGTAGTGACAGCTTTTTAAAAATCCTTATAAGAAAATAACAAATAATTTATTATTAAAAATTTCAAAAGAAGGAAAGAATAAAATATTCAGAAAGGTAAAGTGAGCAAAAGCACTTTTTACTAGGAAAATGGAACGTGTAAAACATTATTTTTAAGCATAACACTTTCATATAATGGGGCAGCCAGATGGCACAGTGGATAGAGTGCTGGGCCTGAAGTCCGGAAGACTCCTCTTCCCAAGTTCAAATCCTGCCTCTTAACAGCTATATGACTCTTGTCAAAGTCACTTAATCCTGTTTGCCTCCATTTCCTCATCTGTAAAATGAGCTGGAGAAGGAAATGGCAAACCACTTTAATATCTTTGATAAGAAAACCCCAAATGGGATCACAAAGAGTTGGACCCAACTGAAAAATGACTGAACAACAAAACCTTTATAGAATCACTAAAAAATAAGTCTATTTCTTACCATTGCATAGAACCTAAGAATTTTGGAGGCTAGAAGGTACCTCTGACAGCTAAACTGCCTTTACATAATTGGAATGTAATTAGAATTACTATGTATGGGGGGGGGGACTTACACTGTTAAAATCTGGACCTTAACTTGAATCCTTTCTCTCCAAAATAGCTCAGACCCAAAGTAGAGGTTTTAAAACTCCTGTAGGTAAGAAGTTTTTGTAAAGCAGTTTTTTTTCATTAGATTTGTATTGACATCTTTTTTACATTAACTACACTTTTCAATATTCCCTTTTAAGAAAAAATGAAACAAAGAGTTCAGCAAAACCAACACATCAAAGTCTGACAATATACATATAGCTCCATAACCATAAGAAGTGAGGGGAGGCAACTTACATCTTTTCTTTGGGGCCAACCTTGGTCATTATAATTTCAAAGCATTAAGCTCTCAACTTAATGGCAGCTAAGTGGTTCAGTGGATAGAGTGTCAGACCTGAAGTCAGGAAGCCCCCAGTTTAAATCCTGCCTTAGACATTTACTAGCTGTGTAACCCTGGGCAAGTCACTTAACCTCTCTAAGCCTCACTTTTCTCATCTGTAAAATCAGGATAACAGCAACTACTTCAAGGGTTGCTTTGAAGATGAAATGAGTTAGCATATGTAAAGCACTTTACGAACTTACATTATTATTCATAACTAATATTTATATGGTGCCTGTTATGTGCCAGGCATTATGTTATTATTATTGTTGTTCTTTCCATTTATGTTTATCAGTCAATGTTTAGTAGATTTTTTTTACTTGGTTCTGCTTAATTAACTTTATAACAGATCATGCCTTCCCATGCTTCCCTTATTCATATTCATTCATCATTTCTAATCATTTCTAATAGCACAGTAACATTCTATTACATTCCCAATATAAAACTTTCCCCAAATTGCATTCCCCAAGTTGAATGGTATCTACTTCCAGTTCCTTGTTACTATAAAAATCTCTACTATAAATATTTTGGTGCATATGGGGGCCTTTTTGCCATTGACCTCATTGGAACACATGCCTAGCAATGGAATTTTTCTATATTTTTACTTGCAAAATTCTACTGCCAAATATAAAATCTTTTACTTGTCAAACCAAAAACTTAATTTTAAAAGTTATACTTTATATTTCGTTGTCTGACACAGCTATTTCAGTTATAGATATAGGAAAATCAATGATCCATATTTATGTGACTAAGAAAACAAGTTTCCATTTTGGTGACAGTGTCAGAGGTATTTTGTGAAATAAAATTGGTGAAGTCATCACTTATATGGACTGAAAGGATTCTGATGAAGCATTTAGATCTATTGCAAAAAATCTTATGCTGTTCTCAGTGGTTAACACAGATCACAGAATTGTAAAGCTCAAAGAAACCTTAGGGAATTTAGTAAAGGGAACTGAAAATCACCACGTTTAACTAGATATATCAAGGGAAGTTTGTGGCAGAGTTGGGGAAAGGTAGCAGTGCACAGTTGACAGAGAAACAGAGAAAGAAGGCCTAAATATGAAGACCCAGTCTCCTGATCACGAATGCAGTTTTCCCTGGAACTCCCCATGTTACTGGTTATACAGACATATCCGTAGATCTGTAGATCCCCTTTGCCTTTAACACAGACCCATTCCCTTTAAAATCTGAGATTTCCATAGTTATCTGCTAGGCTGACCTATATAGTTAAACACATTCTCGATTAAGAGTTTAAATTCCAGGTAAAACTGTAAGTACATTGCCTTATTCTTAACAATAACTAAGACACTTACAAAGAAAGTAAACTTTTTCATCATCAACAAGTAAACAATGTTAAAAAGGAAAACAATGACCTAAGGTAAAAATGTGTTAACACTGTACTTGTTACTCAGTCATTTGAAAGAGACTGTTTTGCAGAGAACATATAATAGCGAGGACACACATTCAAGAGAGATGGAAGAAGAAAAGGAAATGGCTAGTTTTTCAAAATATTTTTCATAGGTAGATGTTTTACTATAGAAAACTCCACCTTTAAGAAACTAATTTTTTGAAAACTGTGACAGAAAAGTCATCCACATGGATTTAAGGCAGACATAAACGAGTTATTATTTCACTTCTGGCTGAATTCAATGTATTTTTAGAAGTAAGCTTAAGAAAAAACTTCAGAATGTGGCCCTAACAACCCAATACTCAATTGCTTGCTACTAGTTTGTTTCTTCACATTATGAGGCATATCCTAATAAAAGAATACTACATTCTGTTACAAAATTAACAGCAAATGGAATAAAACTAGGGCTATTCTCATATCAAGAGAGACTCAGTGGGTGATTTATAGGTAACACTTTTAATAAAGACAGGAGATACTCTAACCTACAATACAGAACTGCTCATGATATTTAGAGAGGCACTAGAAACATAAAATCAAACTAGAGAAGGTAGTTTCCATTCACTCAAGCATTCATTTTACCTTTACCAATAAAGTTAAAGCTGAAGGCAGCTCCTGGCAGGGCAAAGTTGCTCCCAGATTAAGTGGCAACTCTGACCTGTTCTATATTCTTATTTGCCATAAAAACTGCAAGCACTTGGGGCAAGCTAGGTGGCACAGTGGATAGAGCTCTAGCCCTGGAGTCAGGAGGACCTGAATTCAAATCTGTGTTCAGACACTTGACACTTACTAGCTGTGTGACCCTGGGCAAGTCACTTAACCCCAATTGCCTCGCCAAAAAGGAAAACAACAACAAAAACTGCAAGCACTCAATTTTAAAGCAGCCTTCATATTAGTACTTATAGTATTCTATAAATTTTGATTCTATGAAACAGAT